AGCTCCGAGAGCCGCCGCCGCAGCTTCGCCCGCAAGGCTACACGGGCCCCGCCGCGTGGGGACGCGACCCTGCGTTCCGGTCCCGCGAGGGCCTGCTGCAGCCTCCGCAGCCTCCGCACTGGCACGTCCTGGAAAAGCACAAAGTCGATGATGGCGCGCTCGCACTCCTCAGTCCCTGCGGGAAGGGGGGGACGGTCAGTCACTTCGCCCACAGACGCGGGCGGGGAGTTCACAAAACAAGAAAAAAGCCTCTGCGTACCCAAGTGGGAACACGCGAGCTACGCCGGAGGGTATCGCACAAAGGCGGCAGCAGGCCGCAGGAAGGCGCAACGCGGCCCCTCTCGGGTGAGCCCCGGGGGCCCCAGGCGGGGGCTGGAGCCGGCGGGACCGCGCCGGACCTGGCTCACCTCCCTCTGCGGGCCTCTCAAGAACCGCTTAACTCTGGATCCCGGCCTCCTTGTGTCTCAGGGGTCGGGAGGGCTGGCGAGTAGCTGCAGTCACCTCCCGGGGCTCCCAGGGGCTGGGTCCTACCTCGGAGCCTAACCCTCAGCCACCCCTGATAGGGCTAGGGCCCTCCCAGAGGCCAGCCGCACTCCCACGACCCGCTGCCTCGTCCCTGCTCACCCGGCCCGCGCGGCCCCCGGGCGCTCAGGGGAAAGCCGGTGCAGCTGGTGCACAGCGCGTCGTGAGAGGAGCAGGGCCGTGCAGTTGCGGTGGGGCTGGCACCGCTCTGAGCTGGAGCTGCGGGCTGAGAAGGTGCCCGGGAGACACGGCTGGCACTGCGTGTTCTGGTTGGGGGTGCCTGGCGGGCGGGGAGGACAGAGTCGCAGCTCCGGTCAGCCACAGAACCCCGCGCTCCCGGCCCCGCCCAGCCGCCCAGCACCCACCGGGGTGCTCACGCCCGCGCCGGGCGGACACCGCGAGTGCTCCAGGCAGAAGCCTTCGTGCGTGAAGAAGCCGGCGTGGCAGCGGCAGGCGCGGTTATGGGTGGCGTGGCACAGCCGCGCCTCCTCCTCGCGCTCCCCGCAGAGAACGCTGCAGTAGCGGCAGCGCTCCAGGTAGTCCCAGAACTGAGTGTAGTGGCGCGGCGGG